TGAGACTTTGGAGAGAGAAGGCATCATGGAGCAAATGGGTCAATATGATGAATGAACTGGGATGGCAGGCTTGATTTGGCTTATTGGCCATTCTTTATCCATGTCTGCACTAAACTACATCCACAAAGTTATCACAGCTCTTTTAGTTCTCCTGTTGAAAATCCTCCAATTCTCACCCTATGTTTAGGAGAAATTTATAGAGTTTATCACAAATGAATGTTTATCACAAATTCCAGATAATTTGCTTAGGAAGGGAGTATATGAAATTGCATAGAGACACTGTTTTGCTTAATGCCTCAATAGAGGAAGAAAGTATAAAGAAAGAAGAAGAAGAAAATACAAAAGATAAACTTTACATCAGATGATTTCTAATGTTTTAGTTTATTTCTTTATTGTCTTTCTCTCTTATGCAGAATCCTAGATGCAACTTCAGCAGAATACACACACTATCCTTTCAGGGACTAGTTGTGGCTGCACTACCTGTTTTTTCTTATTACCATGGCAGTTTCAACTATGGGAGGCACATATAAGCTTTCTCTGGGGAACTATAGCCAGGACCAAGTAATATACTAGAACACTGCTTTCAAAACAACACATTACATATTCATTGCCCTGATGGCACAAAATATATACACCAAAGAATAAAAACAAACCGATTAGAAGGACTGAGTCTTGGGCCTGATTTTTATTTTCAGCTTGTTCTGAAGGGAGAACTGGTAGGGAGAAAGCGATTGTGCAAATCATAGTTGGCTAAATATAATATTGGATTTAGTTCCATCCAATAGTCCTCAGCAGAAAAGAAGGGCACTTGCAGGTAAATGCTTTTGCTGCAACACAGATATCACACCCCCTAAGGCACAACACACAGTCACTCTGTGGAAATGATGCATGAAGTGTCTGGTTGGCTTGTCGAAGCTGAGAATGGCTGAAACATACTTAGAGCAGATGGTGTCTTTTGAAACTGCCAGCATGTAAGAAGTCTCTAGTGACCATACTGAGATTTTTCAAAATCCTCTGATTTAGTCAAATGTGAGTGGATTTCCATGGGATTAAAAAAGTGCACATTCCTGCCATCGTGATGATTCTTGTCAAATCTCAAGTACTTCATTCCACAGACCATCTTGATATTTTCAGTAAACACACATGAATTTTAAAAACTTTATAACATTAGCCTAACATATTTCTCTAGCTGCAGCAATAATTCCATTCTTTTAATGGAAACTTTTCCAACAAAATCAAGAGTGAGGCAGGACCAGATACAAAACTATCGAATCTGAGAAGTTAAAATGTTACAGGTTTACAACAGGAAGAAAGTCAGGTGAAAAAATAATATAACCAACTATGGGATTCATTATCAGCAGCATCTGTAAAAGTATTTCATAGCAGTTTTACAAATGTGTGGTGGTATAGTTTTTAATTAGGAAAATGAGTATATTTCAGCATCTGAGAAAACATAGGATATTAGATAACAACTGAAAATGTTTGAAATTTTGTGTGGATTAGCAAAATACAGGTGAGTTTATTACTCCTGGATTCCCTTCTTCAGCAAATTATTTCCATTAGGAGTGAGATCTGAAGTGTCCAGTAGCCACAAAAAACAATGATTGAGGCTCACTCAATATTCTTGCACATAAAACCTCTATGAGGTTCAATAATAGAAAAAATGTTCATATTATTGAAAAAAGTCACTTCCATCTCATTTGCAAAGTTCTTGATTGTTCTCCACTTAGGCTGTTAGTACGTTAACCTTGGATAACCCTTTGGGATTTAAAGCAAATTATATTCAAAAGTTAGCAAGAATAATTTCTGCTGGTATGAAATCAAGAAAATAATATAATGATTTGATTTAATCAAGAAGCAATATGTCTACCTACGCCACCTGCAGAGCATGAAATGTCTTTGTCTCACATCTCTTCAAGGTTTTCCTTTCATTGGCTGTTGATTACATGACCTCTGGCAATAAAGTATTTAATAGTATTATTTCCATCTGTCCACCTGGATCAGGTTTGTAGTGACGTGTTGGAGTTTGGGGTTTTTTTGGCCACAAACTAAATAATGACCTAATTTTTCATACAGTGTACACTAATTTTTTTATCTATTTGGAAAACTCAAATACAATTTAAATAATTGATCTTCTTTTATTTCTTTTACTGAAAGTGAACTTAAGGTAATAAAAAAATTGACTTTTACTTTCAAAAAAGCATTTTTAATTTCTTAAAAGTCAGAATAGGGTTTAATTTATATCTTCTTTTCTGTAAATTTGTTTTTAAGAAAAGAACCAAATCTTCTGAGTGATTCTGGAACACTACAAATTCAGAGATACAATGAGCCTCAAAAGATGATCTGTCCCACCTTTCTTCTCCAAGGACAGTTCAGTTATCTATAAATCAGTCACAGGCAGATGGTTGTGCAACGTTTTATTAAAAATACTGGTAATGGAGTTTTCACTGGCTTTGCAAGCCATAATTCCAGTATTTCACCATCGCAACATTTGGAAAGGTTTTCCTTGTGGTTTATCTAAATCCATTGATTGATATCAATTGATAAGCGCTGTAAGCCCCTAATAGCAAGGGCATTTTTTATAGTGTTTTCATTAATATGTTAGGTAGAAGAGAGTCCTGATAGTAGTAAAAAGGGTTTTCGGGAAGTTTTATTCCTCACGTCTTTTACTTGGAAAATGATCTTTTGTTAGTAGACTTGAACCTTATAAATTTTCACCTGTGAAGCTGTTTACACTGTGTTACTATGATAAGAATTGAAAGAAATAATGCACTTGTTTTTCATAGAGCTACATAGAATAGGTCAAGTGAAAATTCTGAGGTTTCATGACCCACATGTGACCCAGAGGTACCAACCATGTCCTCTATTGGTCATCTATCGGTCTTCTCTTTACTGTCCTGTGACTGTTGTGTGACCTTCAAAAATCACTCTTCTCTCCATCAAGGCAAGCGTTCCAGAAGCATTTAGATGATACTCTCAGGCACATGGTGTGACTCTTGGGGATGGCCCTATGCAGGGCTAAGGATTGAACTCAATGATCCTCATGGGTTCCCTTCCAACTTGGCATATTCTGTGATTCTGTAATTCTATGAAGGTCTCAGAGACTTGTGTAGCTAATCTGATAATATCAGGAAACATTATTTTTTTAAGTATTGAGATGAGAAATTTTATTTGGGACACTGTAATTATAACTGGTTTGGTTTCTCATTATTTATTAATATACAACATGGCTACTTGGTCAAAGCATTGTCTTTATTTCAGATTTTTTTTTTAGCATTAAACACTCGCCGAATTTTCATGACACTGGGGTTGCTTAGGTACTTGGATAACTTTACTGGACCAATCAATTTGACACTGACAATTTGTATGCATGTTTGACTCCAGCCAGCAACTAAGCACCACATAGCCTCTCACTCACTTACCCTTGGGGGAGAGAATTGGAAGATTGAAAGTGAGAAAACTCATGGGTTGAGATAACGACAGCTTAATAGGTAGGGCAACAGCCACATGCACAAACAAAGAAAAAACCAAAGAAAGATAAACACCATCACTCCAAAAATCCCCCCTTCCTTCGTCCCCCAGCTTTATATGCTCAGCATGCCACCATATAGTTTAGGATATCCCTTTGTTCAGTCGGGGTCAGCTGTACTGGCTGCATCCCCTCTCAACTCCTTGTTCGCCCCCAGCCTCTTCACTGGTGGTGCAGGATAAGAAGTAGAAAAGGCCCTGAATCTGTGTAAGAACTGCTCAGCAATAACGAAAACATCCCTGGATTATCAACTCTGTTTTCAACACAAATCCAAAACACAGCCCCATATTAGCTACTGTGAAGAAAATTAACTCTATGTTGGCCAACCCCAACGCAGTGCCTTATTGGTTTCTTAACTTTTAAGCTATGCTTCTTGGCCAAGTTAATCGATGGGGATTATGTATGTGGTCATAGGGCAAAGCTCATAAATTCCTGGTGGGGGTCCTTTAATCTGATTTCTGACATGTCCCTGAAACACTTCAAGTAGGCCTACTTTCTTCTCCTTAAACCTAAGAACTTCTGCTCAAAACATATTATTTTGTCCTAAAGTAACGTGTTTTATATTCAGATGAAGACAGATAGGTGGCACTAAATTATCTATTTTCCACCTCCTTTCTTCAAATACTCTGTTGCTTTGCACCTTGAAAGGCTCTGAGAAGTGGAGTGTTGACACAAAACCAGAATAATAGCTTTTGAGGATAATCATGCTATTTCTACCAATGCACACTTTCCTGGATTGTGCAGTTCTTAAGGGAAGAATTTCAGGAACAATATGAGGGTTTTTCCCCCCCAAAGACAGGTGATGTTATTAAAGAACAGAGAAGTTGCCATACAAAGCCATGTAAGTGCTGTAAGATGCAATTATTCTAATGTCAGTCATAGATGTTTCAAAGGAAAACATACAAGCTTTGTCATAAACAGAGGTGGTAAATTCCTCATTGTCCTGATCTAGAAGAATTAAAAGTTTTGTTTAAGACCTGCACCATGAAGATTTATATTTCTTCTAGAAGTGCATTGGTATGAGCTATTAAAACCCTAGAGTAAAAGTATCTCCTCATAACATTTTTGATTATGCCACAGTGGACAAAGTGATTTCCAAATACAGGAAAAAATGCATCTCTAAAGAACTCACATCCTCAGCTAATAAAAGAGATGATAAACAAAACATTTAAAATTTCTGTTGTCTGACCGAAAGTGAATCACTTTGAAAAGGTTGCAGTTATGTAGAGGAATGGGGGACAGGAACAGGCCAATACATTGACTCAGAAAATTCAAAATTAATCATTAGACTGGAAAACAGTAGAAATATGAAAGGTGAAATTGCAGAAGTTAATCTGACATGAAATTGCAGAAGTTAAAGCTCACTTGGTTGTTCTTGAAACAATTAAAAGGTGACCTTGAACATGTGCTCAGGTGAACTGGGAAGATAATTACTATGGATGATCGGAATGCCTGTTTTATATTTCCCCAGAACTGGTTATTATGTCCTTAAAACTGTGGTCGGCAGGAGAAAATTTGACAACAGGAGTCTAATGGTCTACCAGAGATCTGGAAACCAGAGGATGATTATGTGTAACCAGCAGACAGTGAAGCTCCTGCAGATTGACAGCAACGCAGTTAAGTGTCAGAATCTAGTCTGGTTTCTCTGTGTGAGCAATGTTGCTTAAAAAAATGTAATACAGGGATGGTTTGTAAGGAAGGAAATAGTTTGGTTTTTTCCCCTTTATGCTTGAAACAGAAAAAAGAATGATGGGTTGAAAGACAAAAGCAAAATGAGTAAAGTAAAACCACCAGTATAACTACATTTAAGAATACGTATTGTGTTCTTACATCTCCATGAGAAACCAGAAATAATTAATTCAAGTGAAGTGTGGGAGTATCATGAATTATCCAACATTTCACAACGGTAACTTTTGCTTTCCATTAATGACAGCTAACGTAGTTCTTGTCCACGAGGCTTTTCTTGTGGAATCAGGGTTGAGAGTATCATATAAAAGGTTGAAGAATGTGTTTTAAGAGAATAGATTTCAGTTAACTAATGTGATGCTAAATATTTTACATTACAGATTATGGGGAACGAGTCCCAAGTCAGTGGGATTTCACATGCCAAAGAGATCCACAAACAAAAACATTAGATTAGATAAGTCAAAATAACAGAAAACAGGAATATGCTAAATGTATTTTTGTGTTTTCTGAGCTTTCTTTAGCATATCAGATCTGCTGGCTGACCTTGCTTTGCACAAGTGGCCTTTGAACAAAGAGTTGGATTACAGATCTACTGGAATCTTTTCCAGCTTGAGGGATCTAAGAACTGATAAGTTAGAAATGTTCAAGAACTTTTCATATGTGCAACTTTACATCAGACAGAAATGTTGTCTTACATTATTTTGAAATGTCATTTTTCAATAAGATTCACAATGAAAATTGTGAACTCACACCCACTATTTAGTTTTTAACTTCAGATTTATGTAATCATGTACAAAATATGGATTATGATCAAGACCAGCTGGATCATGTGTTGCTTCCATATTCAACTAATATGCTTAGCATACAATCTACTTATGTCATTACATCTTTTAATTAATATTTCTATTTTTAGGGGGATCACAAATAATGTTTAAATGTTTCATTATCCATCAATGGCTTTATGGGATGATGTAACCCAGTGAAAAATGAAAACATAGGCAGATACAGTGATGGCTTTTATTCAGCTTTACTTGCATTCTGGCCGTTTCTGTAAAATTTCTGTTGAATAATGCTTCTGTCAGATACTACTTCTATGAAAGAATTTGGCAAGTACTACTCGCCGCTCAAACACAGCACCTTGGAGAGTATTCTGAATAATTTGTTGTAATACATTTTAAACTCAAAATCCAAAACAATTGTCAGGAAAGTTGATTTCTGCTTCTTAGTGTCTTAAAATCCCATAACTCTAAAAATTCTAGGAGAGCTCTGATATCTGAAACCTACAAATATAATTTCACCTTTTCTGCATTATCTTACCTTATTCTTCTGTTATGCCCAAAAGAATGCTAGTTCTGACTTCCATACTCACTGGGTATCTTAAAAGTATAGCTAATTTTGCCTTTGTGATGTCTGTATCTGCTCTCATTGACCCTAACTGGAGTTGCAACTTGTTTCTCATAGCAAAGATTTTAGCTTTTATGTTCCACGTCTTACTTCAAGTTTTTACAGTGACACATGTATATGTGCACAGTACCACTTTTTTGCCTCTTGGGAACTACCCTAATTGATTCTAACTGAAATTTTAACCCTTCTAAAGCTAAGTGAGTTCAGAGTTATTTTATTACAGTTCTGTTAGAGAGTAAGCAACTGCTAAAAGAATTGTTGAGAAATTAAAACAACCACAGTAATAGATAATTTTAGTTTCTTAATTACATAAATTACTTCTTGCCCCATTATTTTCAACACTACCTGTCTTTAGAACTTCACTTTTTATAATAACATCTAAAAAAAAAATCCAAAATTAAGAAATAAGAAATGTATTAAAATTCTTAAAATACTGTGGTTCATCCTTGTGGCAGCTCCTTTTTTGTGAGGAATCCTTATGGAGTTAAATGATTTTTCCGTGAAAGATGTTCCAGTCTCATATTCTTTTGATAATTTAATTTCTTTTTATGCAGTGCAGAAAAAATGAAGAAGTAGATATGTTTTCTTACTTGACTTTCTCTTCACAGCAGCTACTACTGCAACAGAGCTACTCCACTGGACATAATTGGGAGGGGGCAAATACGTCTCCACAAAGGGACTGCAAAGGAACCTGAAAAGCTTTTGTGATTCATCCTATTACCACTCTGAGGGGTGAAACTAGGTGTCCCAAAAGTTTCCAGTCCTTCTCAGCTCCAATAAGTCAACTTCTGGGAGCACAGAAAGCCCTCAGATTTATTCTAGTGATTCTTGCGTGTGGGTAGAAGTCAGCTTTGAAGGAAAACATAAATAAAAATTTGGGCTAAGAGTAAAGCAGAAAAAATCTTTATCAAGGTGTTTGTTTCATTGCTTTTCAGTAGCTTTAATTCTGGTTTTTTTCAGTATTCTATAACAAGCATTTGGCTCTATAGGAATTCTCTAATAGATGATAACTGGCACTGGTAAGACACGTTAATGAGTACAGTGAGTCAGACAGTTTCTACTGTTCTGTGTGCAAGTGACACCTACTGTTTTAGCAGTATCTATTTAACTATATTTTTATAGTGGTTTCAGTGCTTGAGGGGAAAAATTCTTGGAAGCAAGAGTTGCCTTTTATAGGCTTTAAAAAAAAACCCAACAAACCACTAAGATTCCAACACACACACACAGAGAGAGAGAGAAAGCAAAGAGAGAAAGAGGAAAATTTGATAGGAAGAAAAGCCTGACACAGAGGGTCATATGAAGAAATAAGAGACCATTGGATAACTCTTTCCCGGAGAGTGCCCAGGCCTCAAAAGCACCAATAAATCCTGAATTCTGTTCTGCACTTTTTGGCATAGCTTTCTGTGAAAGCTGGTGACTCTGCTTTATTCCTACTGCAGAATACTTCTTATCTGGGTGCTAAAGGTACTTAACAGAATGGTGAAACTGCATCTTGAAATTCCCTCGAGGAGAGGAAAGAAATGAGTCAGCCTTACACTTTTCTGAGAAGTTTGCTACAACCAGCAGACTATTATGTAAAAGAAAACCACGGATAGTTCACTGTTTTTAAAAAATATGGTATTTAACTTACACCTATATATTAATAATATGTTGTCTGTAGCAACATCATCCCTAACATCATCCTGGATTTATACACACATTTTGAATTAGAGTCCTTCTGGCTCAGGGTACTGGGTCTTTGGGCTCTTATGCTGATCTAACTTTCTCCTGATATATCATGTTCTGTGGGAAAATCTCTAAGGCAAGCTTCCCTCTTTGTACATTTTCCACACATTAGATACTGCAGCACCTGACCTAGAAATCTTTTTGTTCTTTAGTGGACCTAAGGGAGCTTGGAAGATTATCCACAGGGATGTGGAACAGGAGGGGAATGGAACAAAATGAATTATGACTGTGCCCATTTCCTGTATAGCATTACAATAACTGGAGTGTTGAGCTGGAATATACAGAACAGCCTCATCTGTCTCTATAATTGATATCTATTGAATTGTTTGAGACTGAACTTATATAGAATGAAACCCTGTGATCTTCTCCTATTTTGTATGCACCTTTATGAATGTTCAAAGACTGAAGCAACCAGGACTGAAGCTGCCCTGGACTGAGAACCAATCAGCATCTGCAATAATCTTGCAGAGAAAGGAAATAGTTCTGTAGCTATGACTCTAATTTTATCACATATCCAGCTGAAAAAGGGTGAGGGACTAACCTGAATCCTCCTCAAAGAGCAGTTTCTTTATGGAAAGAGTGACAATAGAATGCAAGAAGAGAAAGCCAAGAGTTATGTATGTGCAAGGTTAGAAACTTAACTTTTGATTTTCAGCACCATTTCAGAACTGAGACTCTTTTGCCTCATCGGATGTCCCTCTGGAAGGAACTCTGCATAGTCAGAAACACAATTTTTCAGATACTGTGGAATTCTTATGTTTGCTGAGGCATCATTTCTTTTTTGCTTGGGACAGCTTTGCTTGCTGACCAAAGGGATGATACTATGGTGAAGTGGACGTGTGGCTTTGTTCACCTGATTCTCAGGGAGCCCTAAAGCAAAGCAGAGCTCTTCAGCAGACTGCCATTTGTTTATTATTTTGCTTCACTGTGAGAAGACAGCTATTGCTGAACAAAAAACTTCTGGCTGCCTGCCTGCCTGCCTGATTTGCTGCCTGTTGTTACTCGCGGGGTAATAGACTTTGGGATAGGGTAATGGGGCTGCTGTTCTCCTTGGCAAGACAAATGACTTTGAAGGACAAGCTGATATCTGTGCTGCAATATTGATTTTTTTTTTCTGGTGTTCCATAACTGTGTCCAAAAGTATGCGCCATCCCATTACTGGGAAGGCTTCTAGCCCCATCTATTGTCAGCCTTGCTGGATACGCTTTGCAAGATTGCCATCAAACACAAATAATTTAGCCAAACTTCCCCCTGGGCTGAAGTTTACTATTGTGACACTGCTCAGGTTGATCATATTTTCTTTTAAATTTCAGACAAAATATTTAATATATTTTAGTGATTTAGAATTTTTTTTAAAAAATCAGATTTATCACAAGTGAAAAAAAAGGACTTCTATCTTCTTTCTGCCTCAGAACCAGGACATAATATTTGAGAAAGCAGTAGCTGCTTTGGAGGTCTCTCAGCCAGAACTATGCTTGAGCAGAAGCTACAAATAGAAACACAAGGATCTATGCTGTACAAAACCATTATTTTTCTTACTTGCTGTAACAGCAGCTTGGAGATGTATTAAACTGAGTGTCCTGGGACAATTGACAAATTTCTATTTGATCTCTGTGCCTGTATTGAGTCTGGCTGAGATGGAGTTCGTTTTCCCACAGCAGCCCTCACAGTGCTGTGCTTCACATCGGTAGCTAGAGAGGTGTTGATAGCACACCAGTGTTCTGACCACTGCTGAGCAGTGCTGGCACAGCATCAGTGCTGTCTCCCTAACATTCCACCCCACATCAGTAGGCTGGCAGTGGGCAAGACCTTGGGAGGGGCACACAGCTAGAACAGCTGACCCAAACTAACCAAAGAGATATTCCATACCAGATGATATTGGCTCAGATACAAAACCCAAGAAAAGGAGGAGGAAGGGGGAGGCATTTGTTATTTACAAAGTTTGCCTTCTGGAGCAACCACTACTCAAGCTGAAGCCCAGCTTCCTGGGAAGTGGTTGGACTTCTCTTGCTCATGGGAAACAGAGAATAAAATCTTTGTGTTTTTCCTTTGCTTGTGCATGCATAACCTTTGGTTTTTGCTCAACATACATGTTGTTTGCCATCTCATTTTCTCTCCCCATCCAGCTGAGAAGAGGGAGTGATATAGAGTGGCTTGATGAGACCTGCTGTCCAGCCAAGATCAACCCACCACAGCACCACAGGTCTTTGTCCTTAGTGGCATAGCATAACCAGAGTAACAACTCTTTCATCTGTCATCTCTCATCTCTTGAGGCTTTTTTTTTTTTGAAAATCCATTTATTTCTAGGAGAGAGGATCAGGAAGAGATGAGAGGAGAGTGGGTTTATATTACATTCTCTTACATAAGCATGAACACAGTGGGGCAAATTTTAATCCTGGTACTTCCTCAGCTTTTAATAACTGATTTGCAACATTCATAATGTGCTTTCAGTGTGGGGGGTTTTGTGTGAGTTTTGTGCAGGCAAACCCAGAGCATCACAGGAGCTAAGTATGTGCAAGGACAGCAACAATGCCCCATAGACCTAATATTTAACAAAACCCACAGCAGTGGCTAATGAAAAGGTGGGGAAATGCCTGTGCTATGGGAAGGAAAGTGGAATGTTCAGCTTTAGGGTACGATAGATTTTCTGTCAGGGATAAATAAAAGAAAATTGTTTACTCCTTATATTGTTTCTTTAGAAGTTAATTTTCTTTCAATTGTGGATTAATTTAAAAATGCCCTGAAAGTGTTGAAGAAAGAAGCTTCAACAGATAACAGTGACTGCTTAGGTAGAGATGCAGCGCTAATAAACTGGCTTGAGGCAGCCATGAGGTAAATTTTGAAGGTTTAAATAGGGATGTAAACAGTTGATTTGGGCTCCTATTCAATCAGCTCTGAAGGATTTCTTCACTGAAAGCAAACCTGCTCTCTGGAGGATGATGCGGCTCACTTATAGCTCCAACTACTCCGTAATTTTCCATACCAAACTTCTTAAACAGGAGCTTTGAACAGTCTACCTCCTCGGAGAAGATATCTTTCATGGCCCATTTAGCTATCTCTGAAAGATCATATGCCCTTAGTGAAATCAGCTACACTTCCTACTCCAGACCTGGATGAAAGTATGAACTTTCAGCAATTGTCAGAGGATTTTCTTTTATTCCTAAAGGCAAAAGGACCCAACACTTCAGCAGAGACCCTACTGATATGGACAGGGCTATAATTTTGCGTAGAGGTCCAATAAGTGGCCACGAAGCCAAATGTTACTGTCATTTTCACCATATACAGGATGCAATATATTTATAAGACCACATTCATCCTATCATGTGAAGTTAAAAAGCAAAATTCCAATCTATTTTGTCCATTTCTTTACTTTCGTATTTTCTTATTTTACACACCTCTAAATGTCTGATTTAAACCACTAAAATGCCTAAACTTCTAAATTCTTTGGTCTTAACTTTTGATATAGTTAATTTTTCTTACCTGTGATGTCTGAATGTGTGCTAGGCATATAACCAAAAGCTTGTCTCCCCTGTTTGTGACAAATGCAGCTTGGAGGACTGAGCTCATACCTCAGGCTATGAGATTTTTGTCACATCTACCAGGTGCAGTGGGAACAAAGTTAGAAATTCCCAAGGCAAGTAATGAAGTAATGTGTTGGTCTGGCAACAGAATGGCTGTTAGTCATGCAATGGAGATAATATAAGTATTGAAGTCAAGGTTTTTTGCTTTGAGTGGGACTAGGACAGCAGGTGTGGCACAGTACCATGAGGTGATTGTCAGATCAGTAACCTATGGGATGTGCTTTTGAGCCTGATGTGCCCCCATTTTGTCTGCAGGGAGCTCCGTGAGGAGGTGGGACTGCAAGTCCTCCTGCAACAGCACACCCCCAGTGCACAGGTGTCAAGGCTCATGTGTGGAGCGTGAGACTTGTAAATAGACATCCTGTGTTATCTTGCCACTTACCTTCACCCTATCTTACTACAGCTAATTCCTATGAGCTGAAAATCTGTCCATCTTTGTGTCTGACATGCAGGTCTCAGCTGGCTGGTGGGTCCTGGTGGGTCCCTGTGGTCCCCCGATGATGTGGGTGAGGCACATCATAGTCCCAGAGCAGTGAAGAAGCTGAAGTAGAGCTCTGAGGCAGAGGGGAGCAAGAGGGAAATCTGGCGCCTCTGATGAGTGTCATCACCTATGTCTTGACCTCAGTCTGCTTCTCCACAAGACATGTAGCTTGCTAGTAGAGGCATATAAAGCATCACAATATCAGCAGTGGTGTCCTCCTAAGCTGTTGGCTGGTGGTGCACACTGCATCACAAGGATATCCTGGGGACTGAAACAGGCTTGCAGGACTGCCCCTCTAATCCCAGTGCCTGTGTCAGACTGCCTGAGACTGCAGTTCTATATTGTTGCTTCATTATATATAATTTTCAGTCTTACAGCCCTGTTCCTGAATTCTGTTTTCCCTCTCTTTCTGCCACTGCAAAAGTCCACAAGACTTTTAATGGCACACAAACTCATTGTTTCTACTTCAAACTACACTGTAACTCCTCTTTCTGACTGATTGGTCTCTGAATTGGCAGAATCTCTCTCCCTGAGGGTGTTAGAGTGTTTGAGCAATCAGTGAACCAGACTATAGTATTGCTAATACAAAACCATGGTTGTAACACAGCACTTCATTGATCACCCACTGTTGGCCATACAATTCCCTTCCTCCTCCCTTTCCCACTGCTGTGGAGGGCACTGGGGCACAAGGACAAGCTGATGGGCTCCATGTCCCCTGAAAAGCCACCTACAGCTTTGAGAATGGAAGTTAGGTCTGCCATCACAGACTAGTGCTGCTCCTGTCACACACCATAGTATGGAGTAAAAGTTGGGGCTGAGAACTCAACATGAAGGGAGACACTGTTTGAACATTGAGTGGTTCTGGTTTTTGGTTTGGGCTGTGATGCTACTGATCTGATGTGAAATGTTGTACCTACACTGTGCATACAAAGACATATTATAAAACATCTTTACTTTAGAAGAGAGATGGAATTGTTAACCTGGAGAAGGGAAGGCTCTGGGAGCACCTTATTGTGGCCTTTCAGTTCCTAAAGAAAGATGGAGAGAGACTTTTTTACCATGTCTTTTAGTGACAGGACAAGGGGTAACAGTTCTAAACTAAAAGACAGTAGGTTTAGATTGGAGATAAGGAAGTAATTCTTTACTGGAAGAGTAATGAGGTACTGGAACAGGTTGTCCAGAGAAGCTGTGGATGTCCCATCTCTAGAAGTGTTCAAAGTCAGGTTGGATGCGGCTTTGAGCAACCTGGTGTGGTGGAAGGTGTCCTTGCCAATGGTAGGGGCTTAGGAACTAGAAGATCTTTAAGAACCCTTCCAACTCAAACAATTCTATGATTCTATGATAATAAAAAAAGCAACTTAGTTGACCTGTGTATCTGCTCAGGAAATGTCTTTTTCGAATTCTCTGCAACATTCTATCCACACTTTCTGAGTTCCAGATCCACTATAACCTGGGTTTGTTTTTTTTCCCTTTTAGGGCCTAGTACCTTCAGCTGGCACAATTTAAATCTTATTTTCTGTGAGACTTAATCAAATCAGAGCTTTTCATATCAAGGGCAAAGTGTGAGGGGAAGAAAGTTTGAAGAAGTCTGTGGATGTCTTGGAAGAAAAAAATTACTATAAAGATAAAATCTATTAAAAATAACCAGAAAAATCACAGTAACTTCTCATTACACTGACATGGTTTTAGGGTTGTGTTTCTAGAATTTACAGTTTGGTTTATGCTACTAACACAGACTCTTTTGGAATAAAGGGAGCAATGAGTCTTGGTCTTGGTTTGTTGTTGATAGCTTGGTTTGCTATTGATTGCCCTTGATGTTAAACCTTTATTTTCAAACTAGGTATTATACAGTATTATTCTAGGTATTATTCTTTGGCTCACTTGAATTAAAGCAGCATTTGTAGTCTGCCTGTCAGATAAAAATCCCCAAGGATTACTGAATATTTCCTTCAAAACACAGCCACAGTTAGGCTTGGGAGATGTGCTTTCTACAGGGAGTTGCCTGCCTCTGAAAACAGATCTGTTCTAGTCCTGGAGTGACTCTCTTAAAAAAATTGTATAATTATTTACATAAAACATCTTTCATACAAACTATTCCAGGATACTCTGCAGAATTAAAAGTACAATTATGTATAAGGAAGCTCTGCTGTCAGACAGTCTTGTACACCAGGTATTGATTTCACTGGTGAACAGTTTGAAGTCCAAAAAAAATCAATATGCAAGAAAGTTAAAAACACAAAGGTTTTGTGTCTGTCTACAAGATGGAAAGTTGGATGTTTCCTAAGCCCTGTGTTACAAAATAAAGACATGGTTTGTCACCAACAAGTTTTAGCAGTATGAATTTCAGATTATCACTAGTTTCTATAGCTCTTGTTCTCTCAATTCAGTGCAGTTCTCTCTTCCACCTGTCAGCATAATCATAGAATCATAGAATGGCTTGGGTAGGAAAGAACCTTAAAGATCATCTATTTCCAATTCCCCCACCATAGGCAGTAACAGTTTCCACTAGACCAGGTTGCTCAGAGCCCCGTCCAATATGACCTTGAACACTTCCAGGGATGAGGCATCTGCAGCTTCTCTGAGCAACCTGTTCCTGTGCCTCACCACCCTCACAGTAAATAATTCCTTCCTAACATGTAATCTAAACCCACCCTCTTTCAGTGTAAAGCCATTTCATAGTACACAATATCACAATACGTTACTGCTTAAAATTTTTTCTTACACTTGGTTACTTTACCTTCACTTCTCTCACTTCCCCTAGTAAGTTCCAATTTTGTTTCATTTCTGTAAAGGTCTGCTGTGTTCACACCTCTCAGCTCTTACTCAGGCTTTCTGCTCAAGACTTTTTATGCCATGACTTTTTTTGTAGTGTTCTCATAGTCCTGCTGTTGTGATGTTCCCTGTAATGTGTTGTTTGGTTGGGGCTTTTTTGGTTTTGGTGGGGGGTTTTTTATAACTGGAATTATTTACTAGGTAGGGCTAATAAATTTCAAAAATACTTTTCTATGAAGCATCCTTAATATCCAACATCCTAGAAAATGCATTCCAAATGAGGAAAGTAGGTTGCAAACTTGCCTTCAAACCAAGAATTCAGGCAATCTAGTTTCAGGTATCAAACCTGGGCAGTAATACTTAGATACC